AGGAAAACCCCGACCAGAGGAGGACCCAGCAGCGATGGGAAGAGGAGAGAGGCAAGGGGGAAGTGGCACCGTGCACCGTAAGGGCACAGATGCAGAACTCTCTCTGCCCCTTCTTCACCTCAACACAGGAGGGGTCACCACAGCCCCGAATTTATTCCCTCACCCTCAGGACAAAAAGGAGAGGTTTGGAGGAGAAGGGCAAGTGTGCTGGATACTGGAGGAGTTAGGGGAATAAACTTCAGTTGTTAAGACATGAATCAGCAGCTTAGCTCCATCCTCACAGGACTGCTGGGGGCTGCTCCCAGCCCAGCCCAAGCGCTCCCAGTCCCTTCACTGCTCAGGAAGCGAGAAAAGCAAAGGTATTGCACCCCAGTGTGGACTTGGGAAGTAGGCAGGGAACTGGGAAGTGAGCAGTGAAGCAACCAGGAGTTTCAGTGTCTGAAATGAGTAGTTGTAGCTGGATGAAAACTACCAGGTACTGGGCTTGGAGACCACCGGAGTGGGATGACTTTTTCCTGGGAGTAGCTTGTCACAGGTCTGAGCCCTGGGGAGGGATATGGGCACTGTTCCAGTCATAAGGAATTTGGTGGTTGTGCAAGAATAGGGGAGTTGGCCAGTGGGGGCAGGAGATGGGAATACAAAACTTGGAGTGTTCTCTGGGGTGGGACAGGGTGGACAATAGCAACACTCCGTCATGGGGTTATTGCAGCTTAAAGTGGGAGTGGGAGCCTGGAGCAAAACGGACACAGAGCTGTGCAGCCACCAAAGAGGTTTAGCAATCAGGGCTGGACCCTTTCATGAACAATCTCTGCCCTGTCTGGCTTTTCTTACTCACTCCAGGAGCCCAGCCCTGCACTGGGCAGTGCCCTGTGGGCCCCCCATGACTCAGCCCCAAGGCTGCAGGGATGGCAAGCACAGCTTTCCCGGGGACAGAGAGCCTGGAGTGGGTTTCCCTGACTCCCAGCAGGATTTCTGCTCTCATCGACTGCAAACCACAAAAGCAGCTGCCCAAAAACCTCAGCAGAGAATCACCCTCACTCAAGGCCTGGCAGGAGCAGCACTGCATCAGCATGGGGGGAGACACTGGGGCTCTCCCAGGACCTGGGTGCTGGAACACACCACACTTATCCACTGGAGACCATCCATACTTTTCATATTACACAATAAAAACACAAAAAAGGAAAACTCCTGTGAATAAAGGGGGAAAGATGGGACAGCAAAGAGGCACAGAAAACAGACCCATCTCTGAAAAATACTCTATTCTGCTTAGCAAACAAGCACTTTCTGTTTGCACCCATCAAACAAACATGCTTGATTTTGTTTTGTTTCACAGCCAAGTTATCACATCTCGAAAATTATTTCAAGCACACAACAGGGGCCAAATAAATTGGCAAAGCAGGCTTAGGTAAACCATGGCAGAGCTCAGTGGTGAAGCACACAGCCCTTTTCAAAGCCTGAGTGGAAACCATGGGAAACATCAGGGTTAAAAAAAGCCTTGACTCGTGTTTAACTCAGATTTGACTTCCAGTGTTGGAATCAAAGGGGGGAACAAATGAAGGCATCTCACCAAGCCTGCCAAGAAAGCCAGAGGAGATGTACAGAGGAGCCTGTGAAAGTGGCCCCCACCCTACAGCCAGATCTGCCTGGGGCATCTGTGAATTCAGGGGGACACCGGTGACTTTGGGGGGCACCGCTGAATTCGGGAGGGCACCACTCAGGCGCCTGTGCTGCTGATGGGAACGTCAGAGCCTCGCCGTGGAAAGCGCTGACTGATGCCAATTAAAGTGAAATCATAATCAAGCCATTTGTTTTGGTGCCGAGAGAGCTGCTCCAAAGGTCTCAGCGATGCCTGGACTCAGTTCAAGCACAGGATGGAAGCTTGGGATGGGTCTTCTCCAGCGTGAACCGCTTGCTATTGGTGGGCAGACACTGCCTGGCCATGGTGGGGAGGGATGAAGATCAGCCTCATCCTCACAATGTGGCCTTGTGAGACCAGCAGGCCAGCCAGCTCTCACCTTCCCTGGCACACAAGCCCTTGGTGTAGCCCCAAGATCACACACCCATCAGTAAAAACACTAAGCTGTTCGTCCCAACACCCTCAAACCTCTTCCTCATTCCCGCAGGTATTGCTGCGTCCAGGAGCAAATCCTACCCCTCTTATCCCAGACAGTAGCTTTAACCTGACATCTAAGTGTGGATTTAAACTTAATACAGTGATCTGAAGTGCTGGTACCAAAGACAAGTCTGTACCCTGCAGCAGACACATCATGAGACAGAAGGAAACATCTGAACATCTCTGGTGACTCTGGCCCTAAACTGATTCCCTACAGCAGATTGCACAGAGCAAAGCCTGTGCCCTTTACCATGGAGAAGTCTCCTTGCAACCTTCAATCCAGCTTCTTTTCCAGCACTGAATTCACTCTGCTGGGAGGGACAGAGCTGAAAAGAGCCTCTTGGCAGGGCACCACTGCTCGACAGCAGCTTGAGCTCCTCAGCACCTGCCACCCCAATAAAATAACTTCCTTCCAACAGCCAAGCTCTCTCCCTCGGGAAAAGGGGGGGACAGGACTTTCCAAGTGCTTCAGAGAAGCAGCAACTTCTGCTGCTGAGTTTCAGCTTGCTGCCCCTTTTGTCATCTGAGACAAAACAAGAAGGCACCTCTAGAAACATCTCTCTCCTTCCAAATTCTTGGCTGCAACTCCCCATCCTCCCACCTTGCATGGAAATGAGTGGGATTGGATTAGACCTGATTTTTTTTTCCCTTCCCTGACTGCCACCCATGCAGGGCTGGGCAGGAGGTGGCCAGGAGCATCGCTGGGGTCTGCTGAAGCCTTTGTAGCAGCATTGCTATTCTGCACAAGTTAACTCCTCCACAACAGATCGATGGGTGCGCTGGGTTGGGAGGGGAGCAGGCAGGAAGATTCATTCCTCCTTGATTTCCGCTGGTTTTCACATGCTCCTCTTCTCCCAGCTCCTGCCACAGCACAGCATGACTGACACCAACCAGGGGATGCAGCAATGCCCCACTGCCTGCCAGGCTGGCTGCTCCCACCTCAAACCAGCAGGAAAACACCCCAAAAATTCCAAGGCAAGACACACTCCTCCACCTCTCTGTCACCAAGGCAGTGCCGAGCTGGCGGCAGCAGCAAGCCATTAATTTCCAAGAGCAATTCCTGCTCCAGGGCAGAACAGCAGGAATATCATCTGCACAGTGGGAATGGCATCCACGCAGTCTGCGTATCCCAAGCCTGTCTCCTGGGGTTTGCATGGATGAGGCACCTGCCAAGGGACACAGACATCCCTTGCCACCAGAACAGCTTCCCAGCTCAACTGGGATGTGCCTATGGCAGCTCCGGAGTGATAACACATTGCTGCCCTTCCTCCCCAGAGCCACCTCCCAGGGACAGGATTTGTTCCCTTTCCCACCAAATCTCCCAGTCAGAAGGCAAGAATCCCTCCTGCTGACTCACCCCAGCTTCCCTTTGTTCTCCACTGACACTGGGTGACCACCCCATGCCAGGGCAGAGCACCTTGGTCCATGGTGCAGATCGAGATCCTCAATCTGTGCCTGAAACCCTGTGCAGGGCCCCACCAGAGCCTCTTCCAGTAAGTTTGCAGAGCACCCACCCTGCTGCTGCCACCCCCAAAGACGTATTTTGCTGCCCAGACCCCCAGTAACCCAAACCCCTCCCCCTTTGATACCCCCATGGCAGCATCTGTAGGATTTTCAGCACTTGGGAGGACGAAGTGATTCGGGAAAGAAAAGGAGCTACTACTTTTTTAAACCAAGCTCAGAGAGGCGAATTCCTAAGCGAGACACTCCATCCTTCACCCCCGGCCACCGGTTTGCCAGCCCCTTTGCCCAGTGGTGCCATGACGCAAGACAAATCCAGAGGAACGGCCACAAGGCAGCTCCCTCCCTTCCTCCCTCCCGGGAACACGCAAGGGCTGCGGGGAGGGGGACGAGACATTTCGCTGCGAACAACGGAGTTGTAGGAAAATTCCTGCTGAAATCCCTCCTGAGGCTCTTTTCCCTGCCCTGGCTTGGCCCTGCTCCACTGGCTGGCTGGAAGCAGGAGTGCGGTGTCACCGCACACGCCCAGCTGGCCCCGCAGATGTTGGTGTCACCTATGCATCGCTCCGGGGGAGGGAAGTCGCTCCCGAGCACGCCCGGAGTTGCAAGCGCCGCTTCCCAGCGCTGCAATTAAAACCTGCCTTTTGATTTTTAATGTCCCTATCAAACATCCTCTGGGATGACTGCGCCCATCTGCTGCGAGGACAGGGACGAGTGTCTGGGCGTAAGATGTCCCAGAAGTTACGCTGATCAAAATTATGGATTCCCTGGCAGATCCTGCACCCCCCGGGTTGCTGCTGCAGGCGACAGGACCCCGGTGCAACGCCCAGCCCCACATGTCCCCCCTCCCCAAGGAGTTAGTGCTGGCGGGTAGCATCAACCTCTGGAACCTCTGGAGCAAGGCGGGTTTTAAGGAGTGGAGCATCCACCTGCCTGGAGCCAGCCCCATCCTGTGCTTCCCCGTCCCAGCAGGTCTGAACGTGAGGAAAAGCAACAAAACCACACCGGGGGGGCAACAACTCCCCCCTTCCCCAGGTTGGGGTGGTCTGACACGCAGGAAGGCACCCCCAGCGCTGCACCCCTAGAGCAGAGCAGGATTTATCCGCACCGAACACGGCCAAAGTGCCCGAGCCACGATACCGACAGCAGGAATCGAGCCCCTGCCTCGCTCCGCTGTGGGTCAGGGGGCCAAAAGGGAATCACACTCCCCTGTTTTTCACCCCCCAGTAACTTTCTCGGAGGCAACTGGGGGGGGGGCTGAGCCCAAACCAGTCCGCTGGCACTCCAATCTCCCGGCTCGCCGCCGTCCTGTGTCGCCAACCGACACGACGCATCCCCCGTGGGGGAACCGAGTCACGTCCCCGAAGTCACCGCGCAACCGAGACCCCCCCAAAGCCCCCCGAGGCCCCGGTGCAGCTGCTCCTACCTGAGCGTGGCGCTCTCCCCTTGCCGCACTGTCACGTTGTCCATGGCTTTGGGGAAGGTGGCATCTCCGCTGCGCACGGGCACTCCTGCGGGCACAAGGAAGAGCAGCCTGAGACAGAGGACGACCAGGCACCTCCAGGGCAGGGCTAAGCACCCACCGACCCCCATCCTGGGCAGCGGGGACTTTTCCAACAGGCAAAAAACACACCCGACAAGGCGAAAAGGGGGAAGGGGTGGGTGGAGAGGAGGGATGGGGGGGAGCAAAACCACCGGGGCGAGCGCTGCGGAGCTCCACGGAGATCAGGAGAGCCCCCGGTAAGGCTGGCTGCGAGCGCTGAGCCTGCCGAGCGGCATCGGAGGGAGTCCCGCTGTCCTCGGGCGAGGGAGGAGGACGGGAGGGCCAGGGGGAGGAGGAGGAAGAGGAGGAGGAGAAGTGGCAAAGGTGCTGGGCGAGCCGGTTCTTCGGGCAGCAGTCCGAGGCTCACTTGGGCGAGGAGGCGCCGGGGGGGGCCCGGCTGTACCCCACTCCCGCACGCTTGTCCCGAGGCGGGGCCAGTCCAAAAACCAGTAAAAACCCCAAAAAACACCCCCGAGGCGAGCTAGCAAAGGTGTCCAGGCGCAAGAAGGCACAGCGGGCAAAAGCCTCCGGGATGCCCTGCAGCTCCTCTCCTCCCGCCCCGCTGTCGGGGGGCCGATCCAGGCGGGATGCAGGATGCCGGGATGCAGGCTGGGGACGAGAGGACGGCGGGATGCAGAGCGCGGGGCTGTCAGGCTGCCGGAGCCCCCGGCTGGGCTCAGCGGCGGGCGGGGGGGGCGCGGGGGGGCGGCGGCGGCGGCAGCACCCCGGCCCCGGCCGGCAGCATCCCCGGGGTTGTCATGGCAGCGGCTCCAGCGCTGCCCGGCGCCTCGGCTCCCGCACGCCCCGAGCCCCGCACACGGGCGGGCGGGAGGCAGCGGGGCGGGATGCGCACGGAGGACACACACGTTTAACCCCCGCCGCGCCGCGCCCTTCGCGGGGGGATGTCAAGACCCCCCATTCCGCTTTCTCCTCTCTCCCTCCGCGCTTACCTGCACCCCGCAGCACTGTCCCGTTTGCCCTCCTCTACCTCCGCACCTTCCCCATCCCCGGCGGCAAAGCCGCTGTGCAGGAGGGGAAACTGAGGCACGGGACAACATCCCCCCTTCCTCCCCAAGCCAGGTGATGATGAGGAGAGGCAGGAGCGTGTCCTCCTGGCCCCCTGCACCTCGTGAGCACAGCGTGAGCTTAAGTGGCAAATTCCTCCCCAGCCACCAGCACAGTCCCCGAGTACTTTTTATCAGCTCATAATTTAACAAATATCACATTTGCTTATGGCGAGTAATTCCACCTTCCCTCCACTAGTGGCTAAACACATTAATATTTCCAGGCACAGTTCCATGCTGGTAAAAAGGTGCTGGGGAGCATCCTCAGAGCACAGAGTCCTGGAGCCAGCAGTCAGATCACAGCTTTCGGGGTGCTGCCCCCCTCAAACCCCCTCAGCTGCAGCAGCCCAGCCCTGGGGGGGACAACTGGGCTCCCCCACTTGCTGTCCTCAGTGACTCCTCTGCTTTGCCTTATCCAAAAATCCTCCCTCCATTCCCCACCGAGTGCTCGGCAGCTTTTACACGGCACCAGTGTGGGGGGTTTTTTGTTGGTTTTGAGTTGGCTGCCAACCTGAGCTGGATTCAAACTGGTGACCTAGATGTGAAAGGATCCATAGCCCGTTACTAATCCCTGGAGTCTCCGAATCCCCTGTAAACTACTGCTTAATTCACTAACTGTGCTATTTAATCTCTAAAACATTATGAGCTGTGCCGGGCAGAGGAAACACTCCATCAAATAAAGCTTTATTATTATTGTGCGTGCTGAAGGGTCATACGAGAAGGGGATTGCTCTGCAAGTCTCTCTACTTTTTCCCTGTCTGAAGGTTCTCTGCTCCTTGAATTTAGCGCTGGTGGGACGTGCTGCCTCGAGTCCTGTGTTTTCCCAGAGGAAACAGCAGCTTTCCCCAGCCCTTGGCTGCAGGAGTTTAATCCCTGCAGTGAACTACGCTGGCTGATCTGGCAGGGGAAGGTGAGCGCTGCATTCAGCAAATCCTTTGGGGGCCACAAATCACACAGGAGGGGTCTCTGAAACCCCACTGCACTAAGAGAGAGCAGCAGAGGCAGGGTGAAAGCCTTTGTACAGGGTTGTGGGATTGCACCAGGGTGTACAAGTCAGCAAAGAATAAAACACACCACTCCTGCTGATTGCTGCAGCATCCCAGACTTCTGGAAGGATCAGGACCCTGCTGTGATACCTACAGGACCAACACACAAGAGCTTGCTCTTTGAGAGGCCACTCCTTTGGATGGGCAGAGACCATCTCCTGTGTCAGCAAAACCAGAGGGATTCCAATAACCACAGCCAGTTAACCTTTTAACACGGAATTCAGGCCTGGATCTCCAGGAGCATCTTAAATCAAGAGAAAAAACATCTCCCTGCACTGAAAGCGTACGAGGCCGGGGCAGAATGTGACCTGCTGAGCTGCTTCAGCCCTTGCCAGGGCTGAATTTGGCCCACTGTTAGATCATCATTAGCATTGTTTGAAAATCCCAAGGAATTTACATCCAGTATGCTCCTGCATACTAAAGCCCAGCAGAATCCCTGGTCTCCCTCCCTCTCTTGAATACATCCAATGTACATATAAATCAGCCTGTCACAGCTCGTCTCTTTCCTGACAGCTGTAATTGCTTCGGACTATAAAAATATCTATAGACAATAAACACAACGCGGCAAAACAGCAAAGAGAAAACCAAATCAAGGTTCCTTTAAATAATTCAGTTGCTCCAGCAGCAGAGGAGCCAGCAACTGAGTCCAGCTGTGAAGGTTCAGCAGCGAGAGAAAGAGAGCTTTGTAGCCTCCTCTGGGGATGAGAGAGTCTTTTTTCCTTCGCTGGGCTTTGACCACAGCAGCAGCAGAGTTTGCCGCACACGGGCTGAGCCCATCCGAGCACCAAAGAGCCTCTCGCTTCCAGCTCCTTCCCTTTCTTCCCACTTAGGTAAAAGTCTCTTTTTTTTGTTGTTGTTCCACTGCGAGCAACAGGCAGGAGACGAACAGAAGGAGCAAGGCACAGGCACGCTCGAGGTGTGTCTTTATCTCCGTATCTGTCCCCTCAACCTCCTCGTTCCCAGCAAGGCTAAAGGCCCCCCTCTCCTGGCCGAGACCACAAACAGAAGCAGCAAGGGCTGGACGGGTGGGAAGTGATGCAGCGGCGAGGATGGAGCCGAGGGAAGGGTTTCCACCCCTCCGGGAGATGGGAGCTGGCAGGGAGGATGAGGAAAGCATGGATGGGGAAGGGGTTAGAAGGACGGGTGGGTTTGCTTCCCAAAGGAGCGCCTCGGGGAGGGGGGAGGCTTGCAGGCAGAGCAGAGAGCTGATCAGTCCCAAAAATGTCCCACGAGGAAGAACTATGGATTTTGGCTTGTTGCAAGGGACCCCAGCTCCTTCTGCAAGGACCCTTCAGCAAACACTGCCCCACTCTCAGGCTTTTTCAGCAAAGCCAAGCCTTAAGCAGCTAATCTGCAGATCTGAGTGGCCCCAAAGGCCGATAACCAGATGCAAATTTGCAGTTAAAGTTCTTCAATCAAGTAAAACAACACCATTGCTGCATTTTTTCCCGCTTTCTCAGAAATATCTAACGCAATTCTCCCACCTATTTCACTTAACGGGTTAAGTTAAAGATCCTCTCATCCACCTGTACCCTTATATTTCCCTGCAAACCTACATCCATACAATCCTACACCTCCCCACACCAACAGATTTCATTCCTAGAGAACAAAAAAAAAACCCTCCTTCCAATAAGTAGGTCATAGCAAGGCAATTTGTACAGCCAGATTTCTCTTTTAATTCCTTTTTTTCCCTTTTCAGGAAGCTGATAGATGGCAATCTATAACCCCAGAGTGGAAATTTATTTTTAATCTGGAATGGCCAAATATGATCAGAAACATAATTTATGCTCGAGACATTCTCGTTCCTTCCAAATGAAAACATGATTTTCTAACCCCAGCCGTGCTATCGCATACCACATCATTCTCCAATACACTCGCAGTTGCACAAAAAGTGCTTAATTTTCTTGGCATTAGTCAGGTGAATGACACAAGAGTCCGGGGGAGCTTTTCCTGAATAACTGAGCCCTCCGTGTCTACAACCATTCAAAGCCACAAAGGACGCGGGTTCCAGCTCCGCTCACTGACTCATTTATCCCCTCGTTAACGGTGGCCCCAATTAAGAAACAATGATTAAGAGCCTTACTTGGCTGGAGCCATTTTGAGCCCTTCTCTCGCCCCAAAGGCATTCCCTGCTCCGAGCTGGAGAAATTGCCTGTTCAGGGCTGTTTCTAGGGCAGTTTTTGGAATGCAAGCAGCATCCTCAGGGGCGCTCAGCCCTCAGTCCCTCGCACTGGAAGCAGCAGTGACTCCCAGCACTTCACGGTGTTTAAAAAACAGCGCAGGAGACCCCATTAATCCCTGCTAGAGATGCTGTTAATATTTAACTGCGGTTCAGATAAACTTACAGTAACCATCCCATTAAATATCAATAAAATGTGCTTTTGGGAGCCTTCCCCTAAAGCCACGCTGGGATCGGCTGCCCTGCTCTGCCTGCACTTTGCACCAGGAGCCTCGCAGTAAAAAAGGAACATTCTGTTTGCCCTTTAAAAAACTGCTGGGCTCGGGTTTGTGGCTTGCTCTCATCGTGCTCAGGGACTTCGGAATTTTCAAGCACCGGTTAACTCCTTCCAGGGCGCCCCTGGCTGAGCTGCGAAGCCTCAGCCAAGGGGCTGCAGGACCATGTGCCCTGACAAAGGTTGCAAATCCATCCCAAGCTGGTGCTGCAAACCCAGCATGGGATTTATCACCCTGCAGCAGCTCAGTAGGTCACTGAGAATGCACCACCAGAGGAAAAGGAGAGCCAAAATACCCCCCATAACACTGCCAGCCCTCAAACACAGAGATACACGGCAGCATCCCCGAGGATGCTGAACAGCCCACCCCTGGAAGTGTCCAAGGCCAGGTTGGACAAGGTTTGGAGCAACTTGATCTAGTGAAAGCTGTCCCTGCCCACAGCAGGGGGTGGAACAAGATGAGCTTTAAGGTCCCTTTCAATACAAACCATCCCGTGATCCTTTGTACACTCCGGATGGGCCAGGCAGTGCTGCAGGACACAACATCAGGAGGATGCACAGCACCCCTCAAGGCCTGGCTTTTCCCCTAAAATTACTTCTTCCTCCCACAGTCCTCAGTGTTTGGGCCTTTTCCAACAGCCCAGCCAACACAATACACGTGCTCAAGAACCAACACCTCTGTGCATCCAGTCTTAATATCAAACATCTCTGCAGAGAGTTAAAACAATGATTGAGGAGCCACCAAGCCACGCTGGCACAGTGAGAATTATGAACTGGGATTGATCCTTGGTACAAATCAATATTGGTTTTACATAAATCTGTTTCTCGGGGCTCTGCTGTCAGGTTATGGCACTGTATTAACACCCAAAAAATACCCTGTGCACTCTCTCTGCACCCACAGCAGTTTGATCAGCACGGCTCAG